GGCCCCGAGGGGCCCGTCTTCAGCCAGACCCACCATGACGAACCCCATCCGGCCGACGGCCTCCTTGTGGTCGTTGTCCACCTGGCAGACCAGGGCGTTGCAGAGGTGCACGGCGATGCGCTGGATGGACTCGTCCTGCCGCGTCGGGTTCAGGATGTTCAGCAGCAGCTCGTTGACCCGCCGGTACTGGAATTCCAGCTCTTCGGGGATGCTAAAATTGCACAAGGTGAGGCAGCAGTTCCGTTGCACCTGTGGAGGAAGCGCCCGGATGAGCCAGCCGGCCAGGGAGACCGGCCGGGGCTTTGGGATGCTGCCGTCCTTCCAGTTCTCGACTTATAACCGTTCGTTTAGTGAAGTTACAGTGGCGCTTTTAAAAAGGTGACTTAGGATCATGTTTCAGACTTACGACTGGTCACGTGATCAAAAGTCGGACGCTTGGCAACCCGGGAAGAGGGGCGGGGGTGAGGGGAGGGTCAGCACCCTCACCGTGACTTCCTGGTAGGACTCCATGCCGTTCAGCACCACCTGGACGACCTTCTGCCGTAGCCTGGTGCTCTGCTGCAGGCGGTACTCGGAGTTGGTGAGGTAGAAGAGGGCGGCGCTGCCGGTGACCTGGATGTTCTTGTCGTACTTGTGACATTTCAGGGCGGTGATGACCAGCTGCAGAAGCAGGAGAAGGAACAGGAGTTACACGCCTTCTGCCCAGACAGTCTTCCACTTACGACCAAAGTTACAAAAAGACTTAACCAGCGTTGCAGCATTCTGCAGGCACGTGATCCAATTTTGTCGGCAAATGAACCGCACTGCAAAGCCGAGGACAAGGAGCCCGGAAAGACGGAGCGCTAGGGTGGTCCGACCTGGGCTCTGAGCTGAAGCCGAGCAACTCTCACCTTAAGGGCTCTCAAGAGCTGGGTGCAGCGCTCGATCCGGACAATGTCAAAGAGGATATTGAGGGCTCGCGATGTCATGTCCGGCCGGTGTTCAGTATACGCCTCGATGGCGTTCAGGACCTGCTCCTCGTTCTTCTCGCCCGTGACCTGAAGTTGCCAAGGGGGTGGAGGGGGGTGGATCAGAGGCCAGGAAGCAGATAAGCTGAGAAAAGCATTCACTACACACACCTGGCTGGGTTCTGCTTTTACCTTGTAGGCTGGGATGTGCGTGACGTGGCAGAGAGAGACCTCAAACAGCCCCAAGAACTGCAGGGGTCTTCTCAGGCTACGGAAAGGGGCGATGCTGCTTTTCACCGGGTTGGTGCTGAAAGAAGAAACAGGAGAAATGAACAGGCTGAGTAAGGAAAATAGAATCCTAGGTCTAGAAGGGGCCTTGGAGGGCTTCTAGTCCAACCCCCTGCCAAGGCGAGAGATCCTGTACCATTCTGGACAAATGGCTGTCCAGTCTCTTCTTGAAAACCTCCAGTGATGGAGCACCCACAACTTCTAGAGGCAAGCTGTTCCACTGGTTAATTGTTCTCACTGTCAGGAAATTTCTCCTTAGTTCTGGGTTCGTTCTCTCTTTGACAAGCTTCCACTCAGGACTTCTTGTCCTTCTTCCTCCTCTCCTTCTTCTGTTGCTCCTCCTTCTCCTTCTCTTTCTTTTTCTTTCCTCCTTCTCCTCCTCCTCCTCCTCCTCCTTCCCCCTCCCTCCTCCTCTCCACAAACCCTACTCCATTCTAGCATTGATGACATCACCTAGTTGTGCCATGAAACGCTTGCAAGAAAACCACCAAGCTCAGACAGCACCAAGGATCCCACAGTTCAACCCTGAGCTACAAAGGTTCTCCTCCACTGATAGTTTCTCCCCTCACGGTCAGCCACGTCCAACACCCACCTGGGCTGGTCTGTTTTCTCATCCAAGCAGGCGACGGTGCAGTTGTCCAGCATGGTGTGGCCCGAGATATCCAGAGAAGTCAGGTTGTTCAGATTCTCCACAAAGAGGTTCAGGACTTTGCGGGTCAGCTTGAACTTGTAATAACTGGACAGGCAGTCTCGGGAGATGTCTAAATGTCTGAAGGCAAATGGGAGATGCAGATTCTCGGTCATCCAGCTCCTGGGGGTCTCAAAGGTGCTTTTCCCAAAAACAACAACAACTGGACTTTCTTGTTTTCCCTTGAACACGTTTCACCTTCTCACCCAAGAAGCTTCTTCAGAATTGAAGAACTGAAGAACTTCTGAAGAAGTGAAGAAACGAAGCTTCTGAAGAACCGAAGAAGCTTCTTGCACGAGAAGCAAAACGTCTTCAAGGAAAAACAAAGGAAGTCCAGCTGCCTTTTGAAAAAGCCCTTTTGGGAAGGAGTCGTGTTTTCCAACTCAGGTGTTTATTAAATGGCTTTCGCGTATCTTTTCTGGCCCACAAAGCTTTATAGTTATGTACTAAACTCCGTCTGATTTTGGGTTATTGTAGACCAACGAGGAAGAATGCAAAGGTCATAAAATCTGCATAGGAGCCATAAAGTTACTACTTTTTACTGGAAATTCTTATTTAAAGATCTTGTTTCATTTCGTGGCGCTTATCAATTCCTGGTTTATTTTATTTTTCACCGTCTCCTCCTTCTTGTTCTTTCTCTCCTCCCCTACCTCAAGAACGTTTCATGGAAAAGCAGCGACGTCTCTCCAAAAGACTCACCTGAGCTTGCGCAGCTGGGCTATCACCTGAATGTGCTCCTCGGAGAGATCCATGTTGTACAGCACTAAGGAGGCGAGGCTGTCCTTCCACTGGGTCAGGAAGTGGATGTCGTTCAGCTGGATCCAGGAGAGATCCAGGGCGGTGAGGGAGGCCAGCGGCCGCAGGAGGCTTTCCACGTTGATCCCTTCAATCATCCGGCCCAGGTTGAGGAAACGCAGCCGCTGGAAGCCTTCAAAAGTGAAGTCCTTCACCAAGACCTGCCGGCTGGGGTTGAAGTCGTCCTCGCAGCCGCCCGGGTTCTCCTCTTCGTAGAAAAAGTTGGTGCAGCCAAAGAGGCTGAGCGAGACCAGGGTGGGGCTGAAGCTGCCCAGCGTCTGGAGGCTCTTAGCCGTCAGCTTCTCGCAGTTGGTCAAGAACAGCTCCACAAGGTCCTGCAAGTCAAGCGGGGGGGAGGGGGGGCTGTAAATGGAACGTGCGGAGGACCTTGGGGGATGAAGGGAAGAACTGCTGCCTTACTTAGGCTCAAGCCAAGCCTTCTTAAGCAGGTGCCAAGTCCCAATCTAGGGTTTGAAAGAAGCATGCCTAGAGAATCTAGGTCCATGCCCACCAACTCTGGCAGGGCAAGCCACTCGTATATAAACAGAGAGCAAACCCTAGTCTCTGTTACCATGGATGAAGTTCCCTAGTTGGGTTATGAAACGTCTTCAAGAAAACCAGCACGCTCAGAGAGCACCAAGGACCCCACAAATAAAATCTTCAGGCTCCCTCCTGGTTTCTAATCACTGGAAGCCAACGTTCTCAATTTGGGCATGCTTGGCAACCGGAAGGGGTGCAAACAGACTCCTGATACGACCTGCAGATTCACAAAAAATTACGGGCCCTTACTTGCTTCCGAATGGCTTCCAGGTCTTGATCCTGGACAATGTCCTCTCGCAAGTGGATGCGGGCGAGCCGAGTGCTCCGAGGATCCGAAAAGAGACTAAAAAAGTTTTCATTGTGTTCAAACAAGGTGTCTGCGTTCACGAGGTCCACGTAGCTAGGAAAGAAAGAAACAGGCGTCAAGGCGGCGGCGTGGGGTTCTTCGCAACCCGAGTCCAATGGAATCTGCTGGTGCAACCGAGAGAGAGAGAGAGAGCGAGAGAGCGAGAGAGAGAGAGCGAGAGCAAGCGAGAGAGTGAGAGAGAGAGAGAAATATTTGTAACTTACTCATTGACCAGCCTGTCGCAGATCTCACTCGGAAGGAAGATGTCTGTGTGGAGGCGGAAACTCTCGTTGTCCAACAGGTAGCAGAGAGTCCCTTCCAGGTTGTGAAGACAATAATCTATGCACAAAGTCATCAGCGACTCTGGGCTGTCAGAAGCCATCTTGGGGCCGTGGAGGATGGGAAAAGGGGAAGGGAGAACGTGAGGTCAACTTAGTGATTCCTCTTCTGGGGTTTTCCTGGAATGTCCGTCCAAAGAGATTTCTGAGTGGACTTTGAAGTGTGTTTCCAGGCAGCTACAGCAAAAGCAAAAAGAGAATAAATCAGCTCTTTTAAAATACAGGCAGTCCTCGACTTACAACAGTTCATTTGGTGACTGAAGTTAGCACCGAAAAAAGGGACTTATGACCATTTTTCACACTTATGACCATCGCAGCATCCCCATCTCAGAAACATCCCACATCCCAGATTACAACCACATGGCACAAACCAACTCAAGCTCTCCAAAACAGCTTAAATAAACCAAAAGACCCAACAGCCCCAGAAGAAAAAAAAAAGGCCTCATTTACAACATACAATATAAGGACTGTGACAGCCAGTATGTAGGGCAGGCAGGCAGAAGGCTAGCAGATCACATCCATAAACACCAACTAGCAGTCATAAGAAATTATGTAAATTCCTTAATTTTACAACACAGGGACTCAACCACAGTTTGATAACATAAACTGCGAGCATTCTAGACCAAGCTGAATCCAAAAATTCTAGAGAATTCCTGGAAGCCTGGCATTCAGAGAAATCATCTATCAACAGGCACATAGAGATAAACCACATTTATACACCATTCAAAAGAGGCAATCAAGAAGCTAAGGAAACAAAAAGAGCAGAATTTATGCTCTCCAGCAAACAACAGCCAGATAAGCAGAGGTTAACACCAGACAAACAATCAAGCAGAAAACCTTAATCAGGGAAAATATCAAAGAGAAAACCACAGCCCTACCAACGCTAGCAGGCCAAGCTATTGCATATAAGCAGGGAGCCAAAACCACACTGACCAGCACTGATGTTACCTAGGATAAAAAAACAGGCCAACATCACAAGAGAATAACAAGGCAAGTTGTGCCAAATATAAACTCCAACATCTCAAAAGAGGATTTTGTGGATGATGCCCAACTAGGAAAAATATGAAATAAACAGAGGAATTCAACCTCTCCATCTAACCCAGTTTTCTTCTAACTTGGCAACAGAATAACAGACTTGGAAGGGACCTTGGAGGTCTTCTAGTCCAACCCCCTGCTCAGACAGGAAACCCTCTACCATTTCAGACAAATGGCTGTCCAGACTCTTCTTAAAAACCTCCAGCGATGGAGCATCCACAACTTCCGGAGGCAAGTTGATCCTCTGTTACTTGTTCTAACTGTCAGGAAATTTCTCCTTTAGGGAGAGGCTGGGGAGGCCAGCTTTAAGAGGGGTGGGCTTCAACACCCAGGATTTCCCATCCAGTTGAAAAATGCTGATCCAACCCATCTCACTGGGTTACAGGGATGAAAAGCTTTGCTTTGCAATGGCCCTTTTGTTTTTATAAGCATAGAAAGGTGTGTGTTTTTTAACGTTCTGTTTTCCTCCTTGATGATCTGATCTTCCTTTTAAAAGACCTGCTCTTCGAGGCCACGGTCTCGGTTGGTTAAGATTCTAGAGAGGCAAAGCCACCTAAAGATCTTTAAAAGGGGTGGATCAGATTCAATATCGACTGTCACTACTAAAGGATCTCACCAAATGATCCCAAAGGTGCCCCCCTTTTTTTTCTTTTTCCAAAAGGCAACTGGACTGAAAACAAAATCCAGCTGCCTTTTGAAGGGGGAAATGGGTCTTTTCTGCACCTTTGGGGCAACCATGAGAATCTCCCTAGAGATCCCACCAGATCCCTTCCAGCCCTGCCAGGAAGAGAGATCGGACCTGCTTCTCCTTCGGGCTCAGCCAAGCCGGGCAGCAGCAGGAGCCAGACTACAACTCCCATCCTCCTCCGCAGAGCCAAGGAGACTCTCCACTCCTCCCGTGATCCCGGGGGCGCCAGGTTGGGAAAGCCGGGGGGGGGCAGCGCGCGCAGGGAGGGGGGCGAGGAGGAGGAGGGGGCGGGGACGGGCTTCTCTCCCCTCCGGCGCTTGTCAAGGGGGAGCCCGGGGGCGCCTGGCGCTGCGGCGACGCCTCTCCCCCCCCAACCGGCAACGTCCTCCCCACTCACCGGACTCCCCGCCTGGCTGGGGGGAAGGGGGGGGACAAAGCTCCGGCTCGCAGCTGGTTCCGGTTCCGGCGCGGAGAGAGCGCAGTTCCCACCGGGGTCCGATCTCCCCGTTCTTTTCCCTGGCGTTCGCATTGGCAGCGGCCGCCGCTGTCAACAAATCCTCGCGTCACTTCCGGCGGCCATGCCTTCCACCGGCCTCGGGGGTGCAGCGAGAAACGCTTTCCTCCCCCTCCCCCCGGAAACAGAGGCGGGCGGCGGGGAGTTCCGCCGCGCTTCCTCGCCAAGCAGCCCACCTCGCTTCCTTGTGTGTTGGGGAGTGTGGCTGATGGGGGTTGTAGTCCAACCCCTCCAATTGCCCTGGAAGGAGCTCATAATAACCCCCACCCCCAGGATTATGTACCACAGGGAAGGAAGGCAGCCCGAGGACTGTGGTAGGGGCTTCTTAAGAAGCCATTCGGGCTTTGAAGGGCAGCCCCAGCAGTTTAGGGCGGGGGGTGAGCAGAAACGACCGTCTGCCCTTAGACGGCTGCATTTTGCACCAATGGCCTCGTCTGAGCAGCCTTCAAGGGCAGCCTGCCTAAAGTGCCTTGCAGTAGTCCAGATACCTTTTGTTTGATCCTATTTGACAAGAGTTTCTTCAAGCGTTTCCTCCTTCAAATGCTTGGAAGGGTGTATTTTGGGCAGCAGAACCTACAGGCAGGCAGACAGATAGAAGACATGGATAGAACAGATGGATGGATAGATAGATCCCTATACAGAAGACACGGATAAGAGAGAGAGAGAGAGAGCACTCTCTTACACGCATCTACATATATACAAGATATACACACCCAAACATGTATATATATATTTTATTCATTTATCAAATTTTTACACTATCTCACCCAAGTGACTGGGAGTGTTTAAAAACCATAGCTAAAACCATAGTTAAAAACACTATGCTATTTATTTTGGTTATTTTTGCTCTCCTGGATTTTGCATTGCGTTTGTTAACGCTGTAAATGTCTTAGCCAATGACAATATTTTGCATATTTGCCTCTGGGGCATTTAATGAATAATGTACAATATAGTGTTACATTATTCTAACAAATGAATGATCAGCATTAGCAGACACTACCTATATTCCTAGATAGCGTACAAAAAATAATGAAAACAGAGCCTGCAGCCATATTAATTATCTATGGTTAATATTATGCATATGAAGTATAATGTATAATTAATATATAAATTGTTATGCATCTTATACAATATGTAAATTGGAAATTGCTTTCCCTGTTGCTCAAAGAAGATGCTAGATCAAAGATCACGGGGACCAGGGAGGATGCTCATTCCCTCTTAACAGTGACCCCCAAATATAGTTCTTCATCCTGGGTGACTAGACTCCTTATCCCATTAGCCCCACCCAAAAAACTGCTTCTTTTTGTTTCATTATTTAAAAAGAAACCCTTATTCCTCTTCCAATAAAAGTAGCTTGTAATATTTTAGGAGGATTCACCAGAAAAGAGACGAGGCTGGCTGTGCAGCATAAGCAATGGAATCCAGGCTCCCCCCAAGCTACTAGGGACTTTGCTGGCTGTGGAGCATGGGCCTGGAGCCCTGGCTACCAGGAAAAAAAGACTGCTGGCTTGGAGCATAGGCATCAGAGTCCAGGTTCCCCCTCCCCAGACTGTGGGGCTGTGGAGTATAGGCAACGAAGCCCAGACTCCCCCTCCGCGCCCCCAGACAGTGGGGGACTGCCGATTGTGAAGCGTAGGCTGCCTACAGGTCAGCGGTGGCTCATGGGCTCTGGAGTCCCGGCCGCCGGCCAGGGAGGAGGGAGGGCGGGGAAGGAGGGGAGGCAGGGCGAGCCGCAAGCCGGGCCGGCGGGCAGCCGAGCTCCGCCTCCGCCTCCGCCATTTAGTCTCCCGGCGGCGCGCCGGAGCGCCCGGGAGAAGCGGCGGGAGGGTCCGGGCTGGTCCCCGCGGGGCCCGCATCATGTCGCGCCTGCACCGGAGCAGGTAAGCAGCCGCGGAGGGGGCGCCAAAGGGGACCCCCCCCGGCCCGCGTTTTCCCCGCGCGAGCCTTGCAAAAGTTCCCGAGGGTTGCATCGCCCCCCGTTCCCATTTGGGGCTGGGGGTGAAGGGAAGGGGGCTTTGCGCCCCGGGGGCGAAACACGCCTTTGGGGCAGATGCCGACGACTCTGGGCGACCCGCGTTCCCTGGGCGGCTTCCCTTTCTCTGGAACGGAGCCGCTTTTCCCCTTGCCCAGGGCGATGCTTTCCTTCCCGCTTGGAGCACCCGGGCGCGATTCTGTAAAGGCGCTTTGACAATCCCCTGTGTGTTGTGTGTTTGTGTGTATGCGAAGGCTGTTGAGAAGCGGCTCCAACGACCGGCTCGGGTTTCTTTTGTTCTTTCTCCCATCCTTGCGTTGTTCTTCCTTTTCTTCTTCTTTGCCCAACTAAAAGCAACAATGAAACAAAGAAAAAAAAAAGGAAGCTTTTTCAGATCCCCAAAGGCCATTCACTTCTGTTTCCCCCATTTAAATCTTTGCTACTCCTGAATTTAATACAGTTGTAGAACTAACTGGTAGGATTGTTAATGGTGTGGTGGGCACACTCCAGCTCTTTGCTGATTGTTTTGAAAACACACACAAAATAGTCCTAACATAAACAAGACCAGGATTGTTCCCTTTCCAAATTTCCCTGTTTCTGGCTGGGGTGGGGTGGGGGGAGTTGGCTTGCTAGCTGTGGAAGTTATCGACTGTGGATTTTCCCCTCTTGAACAGAAGTAATCTGGAATAAAAGAGGCTTTTATATGGATTGTTATTAATGGACGTTAATGAAACATCTCCAATTTACGGAACAAAATCCGTAGTCAACTGAAGGAAAGGTGGATCCATTTTTACCGTAGAAAACTGAATTTTTAGCACAAGAATGCTCTTGCCTTTGAGTGCTCCTTAAAAAGTAAATTTGTATTTGACCAGAGTTTTAAGAGCCAGAAGGTGGTAACTTTGGAGTTCAAGCAGGGGAAAATGGCTATTTTTGTCCAGCTATTCTTCATGTGGCTGTTTAAGAATTTTAAACATCTAGGATAGCTTTTTTCCAATCAGGTGCTATTCAGATGTGCTGCCACATTTAGTGATCGAAGTTAGAACGGCACTGAAAAAAGTGACTTATGACTGTTTTTCACACTTATGACCGTTGCAGCATCCCCATGGTCATGTGATCAAAATTCGGACACTTGACAACTGACTCACATTTATGACGGTTGCAGTGTCACATGATCCCCTTTTGCGACCTTCTGACAAGCAAGGTCCACGGGGAAGACTGAGTCATTTAACAGCCGTGTTACTAACTGAACAATTGCAGGCAAAACTCCCTTAACAAATGTCCCACTTAGCAACAGAAATTTTGGGCTCAGTTGTGGTCTTATGTTGAGGACTACCTGTGCAGATCTGGGGAGACATTGGAATTGTTGCAGCTATTGATAACAAAATTCAGGCTCCGTTTTGTGCTTAAACATGGTTTAAGCTCAGATAAAAGCCCTTATCAGAGTGCTGCGGTTTTTCAGTTAGCCTCCACGTGGCCTGAGGAGGGGCGGGGGAATACAAATAATGTTGCACACTGTTGTGTTTGTGGCTTCTGGACTTTATCCTATCCTGAATGGAGCCTGAAAGAAACTTTATATGCATTTAGCTAAAGCCCCAACAAAGTGCTCTGCCTCATAATGTTTCACCAGCCTGCAGGTCCCAGGTTGCTTTAGGCAACACAGAACCTTTTGCGGTTTCAGTGTGTGTCTGTGTGTGTGTGGTGTGCTGACAGCTTTGTCTGGGTTGTGTTTCCTGCAGAATTGCAGAATTTGAAGACATTCTGAATGAGCCCAACATTGTGCTGCAAAAGCTGCGGAAATTTTGTTTCAACGGTAAGCTCAGTCTTGCAAAAGTTGCACAGGAAGCTGGTTAAGAGATACCAGTTTCCACTGAGAAAAGTTACATAAAATCATAGGGCTGGAAGGGACCCTGGAGGTCTTCTAGTCCAACCCCCTACTCAAGACAGGAACCCTATACTATTCCAGTCAAATGGGCTGTCCAGTTTCTTCTGAAAGTCCTTAAAAATCCTCCAGTGATGGAGCAACTTCTGGAGGCAAGCCATTCCATTGATTAATTGTTCTCACCGATTTCCCAGCAGATGATGGAAAGGAGGAGGATGATAATGATGGGGGAGGAAGAGGGAGAGGAGGAGGAGAAGGATGAGGAAGAGGAGAAGGGGGAGGAGTATGAAGAGAAGGACAAGGAAGAGAGGGAGGGGGGAGGAGGAGGAGAAGGGGGAGGACCTTGCTGGATTATGTACTTGTCCCATCTAGTCTGGCCATCTGTCCTCACAATGGTCACCAACTGCCCACCCAGCAGGTGGCCTCCACAGGTAGCCTCCCTGCTCTTCATCCCAGGTATCCATAAATTGGTCCAGCCTTTGCTTGAGGCCAGCACCACATGTCGAGGTAGCCAATCCCGAAGCTGAATTATGTGTTGCATTAAAAATAGGCTTTCTCTGGCCTGTCCTGGTTCTCCCAAGGTTTCCTTCCACTGGGTGGCCTCCGATTCTAGGGAACAGCGTCTAATTGTCCACTTCATCCACACCATGGATAATTCTGTGTTCTTCTGAACCTCCCTCAGCAACTGCCAATAAAACGTTCATCTCGCCCCTTAATCCTTCTGCCACCTCGGAAGGGGCTCCATTTAATCACCCGACTCTTCCGTTCCACAGGAATTCCCTTTGAAAGCGGCTTGCGCTGTCTCTGTTGGAAGGTAAGCTCCTCCCAATGAAAAAGCATCGCTCCACCTGCTCATTTTATTCCCTTTTGCATTGCTGTATTTAAATGTGTTTCATTATACAGGCAGTTCTTGATTGACAACCATTTGTTTAGGGACTATTTAGGAAATTTCTGTCGCTAAGCGAGGCAGTTTTGCCCCATTTTATGACATTTCTAGCAACTGTCCTAGGTACATGCCAGTTGCCAAGCATCTGAACTTTTGATCAGGTGACCACAGGGACGCTGCAACGGTCGTTAGTGTGAAAAACAATCATAAATCACTTTTTCGGTGCCTTTGTAACTTTGGTCACTAAAGGAATGATTGCAATTCGAGGACTATCTGTGTTAAATAAAGAAGGGTTAACAGTCAGGGGTTGGGAAAGTCTGGTTAGCAAATTGAGGAGCTCAGAATACATTTTTCCCTCCCTAATTCAAATCCTTTTCCCTGTTTGCCTTTTGCAGATCCTCTTAAACTACCTTCCTGTGGAAAGGTGTGCTTGGAATTCCCAAATGAAAAAGCAAAGGTGTGTTGAACCATTGGCACTCTCTCCATCTTTCTTTCTTGGCATAGAGAATAAGAACATTCCTGTGGGAGAAAGATGGGCAGAAGGAGGGAAGTGGAGTCAAGAGAGGAATCATCTTGGAGTTGTTACGTGGCCGCCAACGATTTAAGACCAAGCTCTCTTGCAGTTAAAAAAGCCAACACGGTCCTAGGCTGCATTAACAGGGATAGAATCAAGATTACATGAAGTGTTAGTGCCTCTTTATAATGCCTTGATAAGACCACACTTGGAATATTGCATCGTTTTGGTCGCCATGATAGAAAAAAAGATGTTGAGACTCTGAAAGAATCAGAGAAGAAAGAGCAATAAGGATGATTTGGGGGACTGGAGGCTAAAACATATGAAGAACAGTTGCAGGAATTGGGTATGGCCAGTCTAGAGAAAAGAAGGACCAGGGGAGATATGATCGCAGTCTTCCAATAATATTTGAGGGGCTGCCACAAAGAAGAATGGGGTCAACTTATTTTCCTATTCTCCTTTGGATCAACTAGCAGTTTAAAATTAAATTTATTTTAAAATTAGTTAAAATTAACTAAGTTTAAGGTAATTACTTAAAAGCTTGTGTGTCTGTCTGGATCGTTTTAATGAGTTTTAAGAAAGGCAAAACAAAGAAGATTTGTTACATGGTCACTGAGAGTTGAGGGTGATTTGACCCCCCCATAATCAATCAATCAATGAAAAGCATTTCCTTCCTGTAGATTTTAAATTTCTTTTCCTCATAGATTAACTAAATTGCAGGGCTGATGACTCAACAGAAGCTGTGCTAACACTTCCTGTCCATTTTTTAAAACATTAAGTCAGCGTTTTTCAACCTTGGTGACTGTAAGATGGGTGGACTTCAATTCCACGAATGCTGGCTGGGGAGTCCTGGGAACTGAAATCTACCCCACCTTACAGTCACCAAGGTTGACTAAGTTGGAAAAATTATGCATATATGACTTAGAGTAGAAAATGTGAATGTATAATTTGAGATGTATTTAAAAAGGTGATTAAAGGCAATGTTCAATCAGCTGGACACTGTTGCGGCAAATTTATTTCCGCATTGCTGCTTGGGGTGTTTTGGGTAGAAAGCCAAATGGGTACACTGACTATTTTTGGGTCTGTGAAGGCGGTGCTTTGTGGGGGCTAAAGAAATGACATCAAAAATTTAAAACGGGGGTTGTGTTCCTAAGTATTCTGCCTGACCAGATTTGTAGATGCTGCAGCAACGGCCTTTTCCAACAGAAATCAATGGAAAGCCGTTGCAATGTAGTGCTTTAAAAGCAGAGATCAAATCGCAAATTGGTCGTGCTCCTTAATAATGCATGGAACTGCATAACTAGCGGTGTATTTTTGTATGTTCCCTGGAAAATCACTTTAAGGCAACCAGCCTTTGTTGTATTTGCCAAAAGAAAAAAAAGGTCTCTGGAAATCTTTCAAGGAATCTGAGGGAAGGGATATGTCCAATATATACACCAAAATAATTTCAGGTTTGATAAGTCCAAGGCTGTAGATTTGATTTTGCGCTAAAGCTCAGGATGAAGTTCATACAACTTCTGAAATGTGGGTGTGATAAACGCATCCCGTATTGTGTCCCAGTGTTCTGGCTTCCCACAACGTGCTAACACAGAGTGATCAGTGACTATTTTAACCTACTGTAGCATGTTGTGTGAATCTAACCAATTCATGCCATTTCTTCCTTCCTTCCTTCCTTCCTTCCTTCCTTCCTTCCTTCCTTCCTTCCTTCCTTCCTTCCTTCCTTCCTTCCTTCCCTCCCTCCCTCCCTCCCTCATCTCCTTCCTTCCTTTCTTCCCCTTCCCTTCCCTTCTCTTCTCTCCCTCCCTCCCTTTTTGTTGGGTGTGTTTCAAACAAGGAGGCTGTGTGTCTTATTTAAACAATATTCAGCTCTGCTTGCTTTTGAAAAAACCTAGCAGTGCTGATGGAAATCGAGTGCAAAGCCTGTTCCTAATATGAGCTTCTTTTTTATCTGTCTCCTCCTGCATCATCTCTTTGAAGGGAGTTATATGCCCAGTTCTTGAAGGAAATGATTATCCAGCCGGGAATAGCGAAAGCTGAACTTGGAGTCTTCAGGGAGGATGTTACCTTGGAAGACCACGTAAGAACACCGCTTGTTAGCCATCTTCTTCTAATTATGGATATTTCAGTTGGGGGTTTAGGATCACCTCACAGGGTTTTTGTTCTGGGGAAAATTGGAGGAGGAAGCCATGTTGGAGATATTCGCCCCCTTGAGTTATTTGTAAGAATAATAAAGTTAGGATATAAATAAAAAATAAATAAAATAAGACCTGTGTTTCTGCTCTCATCTTGGCTTTGAGTGCATCTTCTCTTCAAATCTCTCTCTTCAAAGCCGCTGAATCCAAACCCCAACAGCCAGTGGAACACCTACTTCAAGGACAACGAGGTCCTGTTGCAAATCGACAAGGATGTCCGGTAGGTCAAGAAGGCCGAGTTGCCCTTCGTCTTCGCTCAAGCCCCTGTTTCAGGAATAACCCTCCATTGGCAGGATGCTGGTGGCTTCATCAGCAGTAAACCATGATTTATAATAAACTTGCTAGTCCCAAACTGGGGTGTCCTTGAACCACGGCTGTCAACTCCAGTAGAGAAGAAAATTTTGGGGATGGCTTCAGAGCTTTCCTCTGTTAAAGCAGCTGCAGCAGCTTCTCTGCCATTGTGACAGGCACACTTTGAGAAACTTTTGTTTCTTTTTCCCCCCGTAGACGACTGTATCCCGATATGGCTTTCTTCCAGCGCCCCACGGAGTATCCCTGTCTGTTGATCCTCGACCCCCAGAACGAATTTGAGACCCTTCGCAAGCGGGTGGAACAGACCACCCTCAAATCGCAGACGGTGGCACGGAACCGGAGCGGGGTCACTAACGTAAGAGGATACTCTAGTCTCTTCTTAAAAATCTCCAGTGATGGAGCGCCCACGATTTCTGGTGGCAAGCTGTTCCACTGGTTGATTGTCCTCCCTGTCAGGAACTTTCTCCTTAGTTCCAGGTTGCTTCTCTCCTTGATCAGTTTCCAACCGTTGTTTCCCGTCCTTCCCTCTGGTGCTTTGGTGATGTTGGGGCCCCGTTTTTTTCTGACCTTGCAGGTGAGCTCCCCTCTGAAAGCACCGGTGCTGAACGAACACGAAGTTCTGCCCGATGGCTCAGAAGCACATTGGGAAGTTGTAGAACGGATCCTCTTCATCTACGCCAAGCTGAACCCCGGAATTGCCTACGTCCAAGGGATGAACGAAATTGTGGGGCCCCTTTATTACACCTTTGCAACAGACCCCAACGGCGAGTGGAAAAGTAAACAGGGTGGGGATGTTCCTGCCACGTTGGTGTCTGGTTGATCTCCCTGGACGGAGCTGACGGTGTCCCTTTTCACGCACAGAGCACGCCGAGGCGGACACCTTCTTCTGCTTCACCAACCTCATGTCTGAGATCAGGGACAACTTCATCAAGAGCCTGGATGACTCCCAGTGTGGGATCACCTGCAAGATGGAGAAGGTCTACGTCATCCTGAAAGAGAAGGACGGGGAGCTCTACCTGAAGCTGGTGAGAAGTTTGCAGCTTGAGTCTGGCCCTTTGGGGAACCTCAAGGGAAGGTCCATCGTGGTCAACCAAATCAGCAATGTCCACCACTTAGACCAACTTTGTGGAGCTCAAGGCTCATGGAGAGGCATAAATCTGTTCAAGCAGATGGTCCAAAGCCACCCATCTAAGGCAGGTCTAGAACTCACCGTCTCCTGGCGATTGGCCCAGAGTCACCCAACCGTTTTTCATGCCTAAGGCGGGACTAGAACTCACTGTTTCCTGGTGATTGGCCCAAAGACACCGAGCTGGTTTCGTGTCTAAGGCGGGATTAGAACTCACAGTCTCCTGCTTTCTAGCCTGAAGCCTTGACCACTAGACTAGACCACACTGGCTCTCATTTCAGGTGTGATACTTAACAAATGGCAATATTAACAATTCAGCTATTCCTATTTCAGGAAATTCTGCAGCCCAACTGAATTCCCCCGTGTTCAGTGAGGTTTGTTCCCCAGGGATTGCAGGAGGGCTCAGATTTCTATGGGGCTTCTATGCATTCAGTTAGGACCCGAATCCAAGAAGAGCTTTTGAAGCGAAGAGGACCTTTTCCTTCTATTTCAGTGGGCACAGATCGAACCTTAGGAGGTCTTTTCGTGGTGCCCCCGTCTGCTTCATTGTTGAACATCTTTTTTATCTTCAAGAAGAAGAGGAAGGAAGTGCTACCGATTAAAAACCACAAGCTTCCTTTCGGGTGATAAAGTGGTTGAATAAATTAAGAGTCTAGTCCACGGATCCTTGCTGAGGACGAGCTGCCTTGCCATTTGTTTATTTCCAGACAGTGCCCAGTTTGGTCTGTTTAAGGCGCCAGGCTAGAAAGTGGGAGGTTGTGAGTTCTAGCCCCGCCTTAGCCATGAAAGCTAGCTGGATGATTTAGAGCCGGTCGCCAGGAGACGGTGAGTTCGAGCCCTGTCTTAGTCATAAAAGCTGACTGGGTGACCTATGTGTAATTTTTTTATTACTAAGTCCTTGATGCGTTCTTTCTCTTGCCCACATTCTCTGCCGCAGACTGTGTCAATATTTTATTTTCTCCTTCCAGCAAGAGCAGAACATCAAGCCCCAGTTCTTTGCTTTCCGCTGGCTAACACTCCTGCTCTCTCAGGAGTTCCTGTTGCCCGACGTCATTCGCATCTGGGACTCCCTCTTCGCTGACGACAATCGCTTCGACTTCCTCCTGCTGGTCTGCTGCGCCATGTTGACGTGAGTTGTAATCCACACATTTTAAAGAAGTTTTTTCCATTTCTGCTCTTGGATTGTCCGTGCTCGATCCCTTTCCTGTTGGATCCCAGTGGATCCGAGCTAAGTCCATTTTTTTCCCCTGTCATGTTATCCCTACAGGCTCATCCGAGATCAACTGCTGGAAGGGGATTTTACTGTAAATATGCGGCATTTGCAGGTAAAGGGGGAAGGCCAAATATTTTTCTTCCTGGCTAAGAACAGCCTCAGCCACAACTCTGTTAACTTTGAATGATGGCTAAAGGAACGGTTGTAAGTCAAGGGCTACCTAAAAGTCAAGGGGGACAAGGATCCTAGTGGTCACCTGCAGATCTGAGGGTGTCCAAGGCTTGGGGTTATTCTCCGTAAGCGGTTCTCCCCTCTTGAAGAGCGGGTGGCCTGCAATTTGTAAGAATTTCTCCCTCATTCAGCACCTGCATTATTCCTTTTCCATGCAGGACTATCCTATCTCTGATGTCCACCTGATTCTGAAGACAGCCAAGGATCTTCAGGGCTCTAAGTAGCTCGCCCAATCAAAGGCTCAGCAGATGTGATGCCGCTTCTCTCCTCTGTGTAGGACCTCGGAAGTCAGTCCTGAGGAAGTCATGGGTCCCAGTTCTTCTCTTCCAAAATCTCCGCCACCAGAAATGAACTCTTCCTTGCCACATCTTTTGGGCAAGGGACTCTTAAGGAGATGAGCTACGGGGCATTTCTTAAAAGGGTCCAGAAATGGTCCAGAAGCAGGACCCAACTGGAATTTGACTTGATGGGAAAGAACCAACCTTTTGGGGGAACCTCTTCTCTAAGAGGCCACCAAAACCAGCTTCTGTATCATAGTTTGGGGATAAGTTCTTCCCAGCTCTCCATTCAGACACCAAGACCTTTAGCCTTCTTTGCAAGATTCCTTCCTTCTGTCTTCGGAGGCCAGCTTTTCTTGGAAGCGTACAAGAAAAACAAAAATTGGAACGATGCTGGAAATGTCTTCTTACCCACTGCCTTAGAGCGAACCTATTTCCTCCGTTGCTGAAACACGGAATTGCCTAGGTGGGGACGTTCAAATGCAGAACAACATTCTCCTTGCTGAGCTTAACAGTTTCAGTTGTCAACCTGTTGCGTTTTCCTACTGCGTGTGATCTTTCAGTGATCTGCAATGAATTATAAATTATTTTTCCCCCCCAAAGTGGTAAAAGCCTATCCTTGCCCATAAATGCCTCCAATAAAAGGTTTCCCGTGAGCCAAAATAACTGATAACTTAGGGATTGAAGACTTCTTGCTCTGCTAGTTTTCTGCTTGCTGGGATATCCCCCCCCCCCATGAACATTGGCGCAGAGTGATTATTCTAACAATGAAAAAATAATTTTGGTTGTTTTCAGAATTCTACCGTGTTAATAACGTGCTATTCTGGATTAGTTTGAGTTCCCAAAAGCTAATTAGGCTCTTGTGACAATTGAAATGGCTTTGTTTTCCTCTAGTTAAATTCAACGTAATGTGTGTAACTTGTTAATTAGCTCCTTTGTTTTTTTGGAGGGACACCGTTACCTTGAATATAAGGTGGAAATTAGAGATATGATGTAGCTGAGCAAAGCAAGTTTTTTTTCCCCGGGTTTCGATGCCAATCGGAGAATTTTCATTTTAAAATGGTTTTCAAACAGCCCTGCAGATGTCAACCTTCATGCTGTGTTTAAAGAGGATTTAAAATAAGAATTCTGCTTTTTTCAAAAAGGATGTGGAAAAGATCATTTTCTCCCTTCCTGCTTCCACTCCCGATTTTGCAACAGAAAATATCCCGATTGTCCATTTTGTGGCTTTTTGATTAATGCACGATGGATCCAGAAATCGGGAGATGGCATCAAAGCATTTCTACATTTAAAAGTCAATAAGCTGTAATCCTAATGGAAACCCACTGCAGAAAATGCATTATTGCTTTATTACCAAAGGAAGAAAATTAGCAAGAGCCATGGAGTTTCAAAGTTGGTATTCCATAGTTCTTCCCTTATTATCCTGATGTAGGGAAATTGTTCTGTATTAAGGACTATGCTGGGCACTTTTGAAGGCTGCTTGAAAATTAGCCTTACAGCTTTTATACAGCGTAATCACTGCCAAATCCTGTAGCTTAAGTTTCCTGCCTCCTTCCGCGGAAGAACCGAAAAAGTCACAAAAATGCAAAACTTGCATGAAGAATGAAATAGCCGCTTAGCAGTCGACATTTCCAGTAGAAGGGAAAAAAAGAAGACTTGCAAAAAATACATTAAAAATTGCTCTTCTTCCAAAATACAGATTGGGTTTCTTGCAAGACAGAAACGACAGCTGTCTCCCAACCATATTTTTTTTCATATTTTCCTGGATAATTGTCTTTTTTGTTCTTTTTAATTTTGATGACAAGACTCCTATTGGACATGATGTGTGATACAGAGCAGCTGGTTTTTGCGTGGCCTAAAAATCGTTCTCTGTTGGTTGAATTGAATGTAAAAAAAATGTTCAGATTATGATATTTAAAATGTCATGTTGCAATGAAGGGACAAAATATATCTCTGTGTGTGTCTGTGCATAAAAATTCCAGTTTCTTGCATATTGGTGTAGCATATACCGTATGTCAAGATTTTTACACACCTATGCGCACAATCCCACAAAACTGCTTAGAACCATTGAGCCTATTGTTACTTCCAAGTTCAGTGTGTAAAAGTGCTTTGTGAACCTCTTTGGCAACGCCATACCCAAAGGGAGAAGTACTTTTGTTTTTCTTTGCAGATATAATAGAGCAGATCAACTCAGTTTGCTACCATTTTATTTTGCTGTCCCCCTGCCAAATCTTGCTTTCGTTCTTTAATTTGTACATATTCCACTACTTTCTGAAATAGCTTTTTTATTTCTACTGGCTAAATGAAATTGGCTACCCGGTTTGAGCATCAGATGTAAAATTATGTAAAAAGAATTGATGGGGGAAAAGATAGAATAAGGTAAAAAATAAAATTGCCTGAGAAATACGTAGTAATAGGAAAGAAGAACTTTGACTCAAGTGAGTTCACAAGTGTATAATTTGTACAGGAAATTCTTTATAGCTCTTTGTCGATCTGTTGTTTTTTTTTTTATTCTATTTTTTGTGAACAGCGGAAATATTTGTTTGTTTGTTTTTTAAAGATTGAGTAGAGAGCAGTTGCCAATACGAAACAGGGTATTTTGTGTTTTGCTTTTCAATTCATTTGGCAACACCGTCTGTTAGCAAGCAGGTCAGGATTCAAGATATTTGCTGTGATTTTTGTGCAGGATATAAATAAAGTTTTTACTGTCTTCCTTGCAATTGAGACACTTTCATTGACTCATCTTTTGGCCTTGAAATTATGTAAGCAAAACATGGCTCCAATAAAAGATGTATCTTAAACAGGGAAGTGTCTCTCGACCTTGGTCCCTTTAAGATGCATGGACTTCAACTCCCAGGATTCCCCAGGGAATTCTGGGAGTTGAAGTCCACGCATCTTAAAGCTGCCGTGGATTAACAGGAGCTGGTTGCAACCAAAGGTGGTTTAGCCTTAAGAACTATTTCCCAAATCCCTCGAACTTTAAATATCTTCAAGGACAGAGAGAGGGCGCGAAAGTGCGGGCAATGCGGAAGCTTCTTAAAAGGGCAATGCCCGATTCAGCTGGCCACTTTTTACTAGCTTTCTTCCCATCACAACAGCCTTACGAGGTAGGCTCATAAGGATCATTAACATCGGGGTTGGGAGGGGATTTCAGCTGGATCTTCCGGCGCTGCCAAATTTTGGCCACAGCGTAGGTCCAAACTCCCCTGGCCCCACCGTCTCGGCGCCATCGCCCCTTGAAGAAGCGGCGCGAAAGCTTCCTTCTTGTCACTTTCCCTTCTTCCAACGTTCCATTCCTTTGATCCCGGCGCGTTCCATCCGAAATCGCCTCTGCGGACGGGATGCGGCGCTGGTGGTGCAACCTGGCGCCCGCCGCGGCCTCGCTGGCCCTCGGGCTGGGCGTGGGCGCGGCCTGGGCCGGGGGGCAGAGCCCGGGCTCGCCGTCCGCGGAGGGGCTGCTGGCGCGGCTGCCCGTCGTGCCGGTGGCGGCGGCGGCGGCGTCCTCCTTGGAGGTGGCCCGGGGCGGGAGCGGCGAGCTGGCCAAGTACGGCCTGCCGGGGCTGTCACAGCTGCGGAGCCGCGACTCCTACGTGCTGTGCTACGACCCGCGAGCCCGGAGCGCCCTCTGGGTGGTGGAGCGGCTGGACGCGGCGGCCCTGCGCGGCTCCTCGGAGCGGGCCGCCTGCGACTTCCGCGAGGACGACTCGGTCCACCCCTATCACCGGGCCAGCAACGCGGATTACCGGGGCAGCGGCTTCGACCGAGGCCACCTGGCCGCCGCCGCCAATCACAAGTGGAGCCAGAAAGCCATGGGGGACACTTTCTACCTGAGCAACATCGCCCCGCAGGTAAGCCGGGAGGGGGTGGGGACGGATGGATGCCCTCCCGAACCCCAGGCGGAGTCAGGGAGGAGTTCCTCGATTTACTAGAGTTTCTGGCGGTTTCCCAGCATCCTGCTAAGAAGTGATTTTTAAGTCCGTTTAATGGTAGTCCTCGACTTTTGTCACCTTTTTCAGTGCCATTGTAACTTCGGTCACTGAATGGTTATAAGTCGAGGACGCCCTAGTATACTTTTGAATTTTTAATCTTTTATCTTCCCTCTAACCTAGTGGCTTTAACTTTCTAGAATCCTCATTTAAATCAAAACGCCTGGAATAACTTGGAAAAATATTGTCGAAGTTTAACAAAGACTCATCAGAATGTTTATGTCTGCACCGGCCCGCTTTTCCTACCCAGGTACCTGTTCCTCAGTTTCCCCTTTCTATCCTCTAGCAAGCAAGCCCACCTGTCGCGTAATCCAAGGGAAAAGGCACTGTTATTTTGAATTTTTTGCTATGAGGTTGAAAGATCCAAGATCTTAAGGCAAGGTGTCTCTTTGCCATGGAATAGAAAAAATTGGGGTGCAAAATAAAATTCAGTATTCTTGCAAAATCTGTGGTGAACTCAGCCTGCAGGGGTCTTTTATTGGCTGAATGTCATGGCAGAAAATTGATCCACGATGCCATTAAAGCGTGGCTGTGTCATCAAACATTTGCATTTGGGATGTATTATTTCTTTTTTGAAACTTAATCAGAAAGACATTTGAAAATTTGAAAGATCTTTAATCTCAAAAGAAAAAAAAATGAAGAAATTCGTTTTGTGGCCTTTGATGTGCAAATTCATGCAGTGAGGATTAGAAACCTATGTAGCTTTTTAGGCATCCTTTGTAACGGTCCGTTCTTCCTGCAGGATGGAGCCGGATGGGAAGATGTACGTGAAGTACCAAGTGATCGGGCGGAATCACGTGGCCGTCCCCACCCACTTCTTCAAGGTGCTGATCCTGGAAAAGCCGAGCGGGGAGGTGGAGCTGCAGTCCTACGTCCTGCCCAACGCCCCCGTGGACGAGCAGACCCCCCTGCAGCGCTTCCTGGTCCCCATCGAGAGCATAGAGCGGTCATCCGGCCTTCTCTTTGTCCCCAACATCATGAAAAAGACCAGCAAGTTGAAAGCAATCGCTGCTGGGAGCGCCCCATGAGAACCCCCGGCAGCGAGAGGCGTCCCTCAAAGCCTCTGAAAGCAGGCAGTCCTCGGCTGGCGATCCCAAGCTGAAAGGTCCGTTGCTAAGCGAGACAGGGGTTAAGTCCATTCTGCCCCATTTTACGACCTTCCTTGCCACCGTTATTAAGTGGATCATTGCAGTTAAGTTAGTAACATGTGAAAATCTGGCTTCACAGAATCACTTAACGACCGTGTGACCGACGACTGCAGTGGTTCACTTAAGGTCATAAAATGGGGCAAAACTCAACAAATGCCTCACTTAGCAACGTAGTCATTAAGTCGGGGACTACCTGTGTTTTCCTAACCAAGCAGGCGGTGTAATAACTACTGGAGAACCTCTTGCGAAGAAGTAGGGGAAACGACTCCCATCCAAAGGGCTTTTAGTGCCGGAGCTTCCCAGGTTTAGTTCTCAGAAACGGAGAGGATGCTTGGAGGACACCCGAGCAAGAAGAGGTCAGTTGAGACCAACTCAGCAAACATCAGAAGGAACCTCAGATGGAGAAAAGGAACGGACGTGGAAGAAGAACGCTGTTTCTTTTGTAAACGCCAAGAAGAACATTTCGTTCTCAGGGAACTTTTATGGGGGGAATCGGCAAGGCGGAGGGGGGCTCACCTCATCTCAGGGAAGGCTGTTCCTTGCCCAAACTCAGGTTGAGGGTCCCGTTTTGGCACAGGGAGAAATAATTGGTACCTTCGGGTCTCTTTTGCAAATAAAACGAGACGAATCTCTCCGTGATGGCCTTGAAATTTTGTTTTCCAAAACCAGCTGCTCTGCCGTTCTGCCTTAAGCACGGTCCTCAAGTTATGACTACAACAGGGACTTGGGGGGGGGAGGCACACAACCCCCTTCTTCCATTTATTTCTGCCAAGCACATGCTTTAAAAACAGATTTTTTTTTTCTCCAGCAGAGGCGATGAAACAGCATCTCCTCATTCAGCATCAATTGCAGTTTTTGGTTCGAGCGAGACGGTCGCAGGTCTGTCCATCGTTATATAAATAACTTTAAAAATGCCAACATGGAGCAAATGCAGGCAAGGCCCCTCCTGTTTTCAAAGGGGGCCCTTAAGGAGCTGCAGAATTCTGGGAGTTGAAGTCCACCCCTTGCCAAGTTGAAGAAGTTTGTCCTATGGTCCGTCTTAAGCCCCAGAGATTCATGGGCGTCGCCATCTTGGCTCCCAGGGTGCCCCAATTGGTGCATGCATTGGTTCCCCACCAAAGGATTATCCGAGCCGGTAAGAAAAGCACCTTTGCTTCTGCTCCTTCTCATTTGGCTACTGGGGGCCGATTCACATCTGGAACTCGGCTCCCACTTCGTCCTTCCTTAGCCGCTGCGTCCATCTTGGGTCTCAGTGCCGAGAGAGAGACCAGGAGGGCTTCCTACAAAGGCATGGGAAAGAGCTGGAGTCAGCCACTGGATCAAAAGGATCGTTGCTTTCTCCTGCAATGCTGTCCCATAGGATCTGTCAAGGATCCAGAAACAGAGTAACAGACAGTCTTCAAATTACAGCCACAAGAAGCGCCAGAATTTTGAACCGTTCTTCTACCAAGGGTTATAAATTGAGGACTACCCTTTAGAGCAGTGCTTTAAGACACGTGGATGTCAACTCCCAGAATCCCCCAGATTAGATTAAGTCAGTAAACTCCCTGCGGGGAGGTCCTGCCTCAGTTTGAGAACCTGCCCAGAGAGACTGGCCATCCACTGCATTAATCCTGGCTTACCTCCGTCCGGATGGTGCGACTTCCTTGCCCCGGACAGGTGTTCAAATACAAATCGAACAAGGTACTGGGGTCAGTGACATCCAGGTGAGGATCTGCCTCCACTCCGGTTTCAAGACCTTGCAAACCCCCAAAGACGATCAAAGCGTGGCTACCAGGAAGAGACAAAAAGAGGAGGGGTCTTGGGAAGGCTGTCTCAGCTCCTGCAGGGCAGAGACAGGGCGACAGAGTTGGAAGGGACCTTGGAGGTCATCTAGTCTAACCCTCCGCTCAAGCAGGAGACCCTATACCATTCCAGTGAAATGGCTGTCCAGTCTATTTTTGCAAACTTCCAGTGATGGAGCACCCACAATTTATGGAGGCTGGTTTATTGTTCTCACTGTCAGGAAATTTCTCCTCGTTTCTAGCCTGGATCTAGGCTGGCTCCCTCTTCCCTTCGGCAGCTTCTCCAATATCAAGTCACCCCTCGTCTTCCGCTTTGCTAGACTAGGCACCCCAGTTCCTGCAACTGTTCATCACGTTGTAGCATAAAACATAACGCAGAAGCTTCACTGCTGTTACCTGAAAGCAGGTAGGCTGGCTTGATCCACGGAGGATCCGCGCTCCGAGGTCCCAATGGAGAGATCGTAGCCATCTTTATATGGGGATTCAGCAAAGATGGCGCCTGATGGGGAAGAACGAGCTTTTAAAAATACACAGATAGTCCTCGACTTACAGCAGTTATCTCTCCTGTTTCTAGCTTTGGGTAAATTATACAGAGAGAGAAAAAGTTGTAACATCAGACTTACTCAGACACGAAGCTAATCGGATGTTGTAGCCCCAGTAAAGGCCAGAAATGGTGCGGGGACTTTGTGACGATACAACAACACCCTTCTGCGTTTTGCTCTCTGAAAGAGAAAGGAGTCAATTGGCAGAACTGAATCAGCTCTTCCAGGCAGGCCTCAACTTACGAACACAAGTGACCCCAAACTTTACATTGCTAAGCAGAGGCCTCCTGACTGGTGTTGTGGCCCCTTCTTAAACCTGCACAGGTTAGTTCTTAGTTACTGGGCACTGTCATGGGAGGGACCAGCTCTGACCTGAGTTTCTAAGTCAAGGCCTGTCCAAGGATACCTGGGTTCTGCTTTTCATCCAGACGCACCGTGACGCGAAGACCAGCTTCCAATTGCTTATCTATCTGGACCTCCTGTGGGAAAACGACACCAACACGGAGCATCACTTAGTCTGGGCACAGCAGTCAAACCGATTGGTCTGTCTGTCCAGCCATCCTTCAGTCCTTCCATCCATGTCTCTCTCCCATCTGTCCATCCATCCATGTCTGCCTGTCTCCCTATCTGTGATCAATCATCTTATCTCCATCCATTTATCCATGTCATCTCCATTCATCCATCCAACCTTGTCATCCGTCTGTCCATCTGTCCAATCATCCAGTTGCAGCCCATAAGCTCCTCCCACTTGGACAGCCATTGTCTGAGTGGCTGCCCCGTCACGGAATGGTCCACCTTCCTCTCGAAGGAGGGCAGAGAAGGTGGACAGCAAAGCCTCCATTAGGCTAACCCAGCTTGACCGCCATGAATTACCTTCCGCATCCCGCAGTTCACAAAGGACCCTCGGCCAGGTCTGGTGGGCCGGTCCAGGACCACCCCTTCCCGGTATTCAGACTCTTCATCCATTCGGACATGGTGGGGACTGTCGAGAGGGTTCAAGAGGCCTGAAACCATCCATAGATGGCCAGAAAGAGAATTAAAAAAAAAAAAAAGTTAAAAGACGTTTCTACTAAATACAGCTCCCGTAGAGGTAATTTCTCGCACAACTAGTCTTCGGCTTACAACCACAATTAAGCCCCAAATTTCTGTTGTTAAGTGAGACATTTAAGTGAATTTGCCCCAATTTACGACCTCTCTTGCCCCGATTGTTAAGTGAGTCGCTGCAGTTGTTAAGTTAGTCACACTAACTGAGGAAACGGGAATCCAGGACTTACCAGCAAACTGCAGGTCCTGGTGCTTGGGGAAGAAGGACTTCCTTAGGTACCTGTTCAAGAAAGAAGAGGCCAGAGAGATGAAGAGCTGCCAGTTTTCTTAGACAATTGTGCAGTCAAAGCGGATGCCTGGCTGAGCTAATGACAACAGAGCTGCCGCTTTCTTGCCTCACTAAAAGAGGAATGACGAGAGAAAGAAAGAAAGGCGGCAGGAAACAGAAACAGTAGCTCTTACTCAAAGGCAAACGCTGTAATAAACTAAGATAAATTTACATTTCAAAAAATGATCTATTCCTTGAACTCTGAGTTCTAGTCCCTCCTTAAGCATGAAAGCCGGCTGGGTGACTTTGAGCCAATCCCTCTCTTTCATTTCAGCCCAACCCACTTTGCAAGGTTATTGTAGTAAGGAAAATAGGAGGAGGAAGGAGTATTAATTCTGTTTGCTACCTGGAGTTATTTATAAAAATAATAATAAATGTGGGATACAAATAAATAGATGATGGCAAGGCAGGCAGACAGACAAGCAAGCAAGCTAAAAGCGACATAATTCTGGCTTGTTTTGGCCCCTTTTGAGCCGGACAGTCTTTGCAGGGCGACTTACTGGGGACACTCCAGGTACTGAAGGATCCGGGCCAGCTGGACGCAGGCCTGCCCTTTGCCCTTGATCCCCTCGAACTCGCCTTCGATGCTCCTGAAAGACAAGCAGCAAAAGTCACCGAGTGCCTCAAGCTGGCGATCCTGTTTGCAAAAATGCCAATTCGCAGCTCAACCTCGCTTGGGAGGAAAAAGCATCGTACCAACGCAGAGCCTGGCTTTTTGCAACCCAACCTTCACAGGGATTCCTTACCTGGAATTTTCTCCTTGATCGTCAAAGACCACGATTTCATCCACGCAGAAGATGACGCAGGCGCGGGCGATCTGTCCGGCCAGATACGTCCGCAATTCAGGCGACTGCGCATTGCTTAGAATCGAGCCAGGAACAGCCACGCTGACTGTGTGGTGCCGCCCTAGGAAAGAAGGGGGAGGGAGTTAGGAGTGGGATTCCCCCTCCCAAAAGTATTCCTTCCTTCCCTCCATCTCTCTCTCTCCTCTCCCTCCCTCCCTTCTTCTTTCTTCTGAACATACTTCCTTTCTCCTTCTATTTTTCGTCACAACAATAACCCTATGAAGTGGGTTGGGCGGGACTAGAACTCACCGTCTCCTGGTTTCTAGGTCAGCACCTTCATCACTGCAGCAAACTGGCTCTTCTATCTAATCTAAGATTACTGTATTAACTCAGTTTCTGGGTTTGGGGCTGCTGATCCATAAGCTGGCAAGAACCGGCAAGCTCCAAAAAGAAAAATCTAAGGAGAATTAACCCTCAGTCTACCATGCAGGGAGAATACACTCATTCGCTCTTGGCCCAGGTTGTGTGAACCCAGCCTTTCTCATTCCCCAAGGCTAGTCTGAGACCCAAAATAGGTTTCCTGTATTTTGGCAGCCACCTTTGTCCTCCTTCGGCTTTGCTTCTTCTCTCTCTTTCTCCATCAGCGCTCGGGCTCTCTCCTTCTCCAACTTCTTCAGCAGTTTTATCTCTTTCCATTTTTTCTTCTCTTCTTTTTCTAGGAGGTGAAAGCAAATGTTTGATTCTCTCCCCTGAGGAATTTGCAAAGAGTGACAAGGTCGCCTTTCCATATACAAAGTGATGGTTATTTTTAGGGAGAGTTAAAAAGCATCTTGCATCCTTCTAACCGGCAATCAGGATTTCTCTATGGACACAACTGACACCCAGCAGCTCTTTTTAAAAAAATATCTTTTAAAACTCAGTTCTTACTTTGTTGTTTCCATTTACGCCAATCCATCTTTTCTTCTCTTCCCTGGAAAACAGCGCAGAGACTTTGTCAGTTTGGAAGACAAAGGCTGGGTTCACAAAACATACTAAACCCAGGTTAAAAGAGCAAAAATGTAAAGTAATAAAGGTGGGATAAAAATTGAATAAAGGAAGGAAGAGAAGGGAAGGGAAGGGAAAGGAAGGGGGAAGGAAGGTTGTAAATAACATGGGTGTGTTTGCATTACACGGGATGTCCAAACAAACAGGATGAAGTTTAGACTAATGGCCTCATTCAGCCTTTATTCCAGCCTAACGCTGGGTTCCCAAAACACCCTGAATCCACAACCTGCCAATCCACTTTAGCCGGGGCTAAGATCTTGTGTGAATCCAAGCCCACGCACCCCAAGCCCCTA